ATTTGAAGCATTTTGATAGTGTGCTTCTGCTAATCAAACAAGTGTAAGAGTACGCCTAATCGTAGTACTTTTATGTGAGTTGATAAATCACCTTTATAAAAAATATATTTCTATTAATTTAAAGAGTGCCTTTTGCTGCTACTCTCGAATCGATTCTTTTATATATTCAGTATATAAAGACTCTCTCTATCTCTTACTAGGCTTCTTTTATTTACTCTATATGTATTATATTAATGTACTCTAAGCAATAGAAATCCCTATAGATTGTGTATTGGATAATACAATTTATTCTTGTAATAAAAAGATATATATATATATATGCACCTTTAATAAAAATGTATATCATATATATAGTATAACAATATTATCCCAAATCTTCAAGTCTCTTATAACTTACAAAAATAAAATCTCAAGGCTAGTGCTTTAACATACTATATCTTCTCCAAGTTTAATTTTAAGCAGACACTCAAGTAGCTTTTATTTTGTACATGCATAAAAAGCAGGTGTCTATTTATTATTTATTTTTTTGAAAGAAAACAGATTGGATATACAATTGAATAGTGCTTTTGTGAAAATACTTTATAATTTTGGCTAACAATATATGCTCATCAATATTACTAGCTGTATTCTACTTGAATAAAAAACATTGTGCCAATGAGTTTTAGTCTCTTGGATTGCACGATTGCAGACACTTCGGAATTGTATTACAAAAACCATAAAAGGAATAAAAAAGGTGGGAACCTCGAAGTATCAACTTAACTTAGAAGCATAAAGGAAAATGCATTGGTTTATGTAGTTCTTATCCGTGAGTAGGGCGTATCGAAATGCAGCAAGTAAAACCAGTTTCCTGGCTTCTCTATATTTTCCAGTAGAACACAGAAGTAAAAGGTCAAATGCGAGCAAATTGAACAAAAAGCTGCGGTGGGTTGTTTTGAAATGAACAGATAAAAAGTTGAGACAGCTATCTGGAGATGTGTATGTCGTATACTGGGGGACTACATTGTTTTATGGTTACAAAAAAAGAGCAACTGACTCTGGCATATAAGTAAGAATAAATTTATGAAGTAATAATAAACGCCTTTACAGATTACAGGGGAGGCAAAGGTTAATAAATAAACACCATGATGTACTTTATGACTTAAAAATCAGTGCGAGTTTTTGTGGTACTGGTATAACCAGAAAATAAGATATGCTGGTACACATAAGGTTAAGATAAAGCAATATAAGCAAAAAATACTAAATGTGGAGAAGCTCAGAATACTAGAAGAAAAGCAGGCTTCTCTGATAGAATACATATAGACATATAATGATTTGAGCTGACACGAGCAATAGCATTAAAGACTGGAGTAAAGTCTACAGCAGAAAGAGAGATAGAGGGTAAGCAGAACAACAAAGAGAAGAGAGAAAATATATCAGATCTCCAGCGCATACCGATTCGGGATTGGTATGGAAACAAAGAATTGCTAATTTGAAGAGTTGAAGAATAAAAAATTCTGTAATAAAATACTGAAACAGGAGTGAAGGAATTGATAACGTCTTGGGTGATGAGATTTATGAATAACATGTTATTTCTTGTAGCCTAGACCGCAAAAAAGAATTGACCGGTTGTAAATGAGTATTGATTACTATTGAGCCTGAGATCAAGACAGAAATATAAGTAATTTATTGTTAGCAATTCCAGTTTAATGGATCTGCCTTTACTCTATTAACTAATACATAAACTATTGATACGTAGTTTATTATTACTCTATATTCCTATCATAATATGACATTTACAATTATACATAGTATATATACAGTATATTTATAAAGCATCTACATACTTATCTTACTCTAGTAATACCTTATTTAGATACTACACATAAGTATACCTATAATTCAAATACACTACTCAAGTATTTGAGTTGGAAAACTCCGAGGCTACCAATAGTATGGATATTCGTTCTTGTCCAAAATCTCTGGCTGATATGACTGGATGACCGCCATACACATAAATATTTCCAGAAGAATAACACTTTTTAATTATGCTTCATAGCATCAATTACTTGGACACATACTAAAATATAATTTAGCAGACATATAGATACCAACAATAAATACTATTTCAAAAACAATTGAATTTTGTTACTTTTTTTTCTTTTGAAATAAGACATCATATATAAGCTATTATAAATTATATTCTCTATATTCTCTTTATCAATCTCAAAACAGAACGTTTAAAAGATTCTAGAATGAATAGTATAGACTTCTTCTATAGAATTTCCAAAAACAAAAACCAAATAATTAGTTTCAAGTGAAATTAATGTAAGCAATATTCAGCCTAACACAAGTGTTCAGAGTTCAGAATAAAAGAAAGACTCTTATTGGTCAGAGCATATACAGGGTAGATCGCGTCTGTAAAAGAGTACTATATCGGGCACAGCATGATATCCATAGACTTTGAGAAGAAAAATGATTACGGAATGCTAAAAGAACTATAAGCTGAGCGGAATATTGCAAACCCACCAAAAGAAGGATATTATTCAATGAGAGACTTCCTTTTATTTTCAAAAAGAGTGTTGTTTATAAGATCAAATGCCAAGCTAATAAACCAGTCAGGAAATCCATAAAAGAGTCTCACAAATATGGATTCCGCACAAGTTGATTGTGAATATTAGAACCTGTCATTGTCAAGTCTTTGTTTTTATATAGCAATTCGGCAAGATAACGTCTCTGTAAGCTTTACAAAAAGAATAAAATGAAAAAGATTTCTGTATACAATTATAGCTAGAAAAGCAAAAAAAAAAAAGATGATTGACTTCAAAACATAACTTGTGATTTTTCCCATATATTAAAGACATGCTTTAAAGTTTTCAAATAAAGAATGTAAATTGATAGTACTAACATTGCCAAGTATCTGCAATCGTGCAATCCAAGAGACTAAAACTCATTGGCACAATGTTTTTTATTCAAGTAGAATACAGCTAGTAATATTGATGAGCATATATTGTTAGCCAAAATTATAAAGTATTTTCACAAAAGCACTATTCAATTGTATATCCAATCTGTTTTCTTTCAAAAAAATAAATAATAAATAGACACCTGCTTTTTATGCATGTACAAAATAAAAGCTACTTGAGTGTCTGCTTAAAATTAAACTTGGAGAAGATATAGTATGTTAAAGCACTAGCCTTGAGATTTTATTTTTGTAAGTTATAAGAGACTTGAAGATTTGGGATAATATTGTTATACTATATATATGATATACATTTTTATTAAAGGTGCATATATATATATATATCTTTTTATTACAAGAATAAATTGTATTATCCAATACACAATCTATAGGGATTTCTATTGCTTAGAGTACATTAATATAATACATATAGAGTAAATAAAAGAAGCCTAGTAAGAGATAGAGAGAGTCTTTATATACTGTATATATAAAAGAATCGATTCGAGAGTAGCAGCAAAAGGCACTCTTAA